GGCATACGCAATACGTGCCCTATCCAGTGAAGCCTAGTATTCTGAATTCAGTATACTGGCAGGTTTATACCTGACAGACTCCCAAACACACAACGGCTTACCTCCACGTTACTAACCCGTTGAATCCATCCAACATGGGGTAAACTACGTAAACACTGATAATCAAAAAAAATTCCGTCGACAAATATCTTCTACTCGAAAATTCAGGGTCTCACAACCATAAAGCAGAACTGAACAAACTTAAGCACAATATATACGACCTTTCAACTTCAGTGAAACGTCACGTCCACGCCAAAGATGTTTCAGTCCTGCGTATGCTGCTGGAGCCTTGCAAATGCGGGCGGTTATCTCCTTTGCTGCACTACCGTCATTGGTCAAGCAACTACCTAAGTAGGAAAAGTAATCTACCACAACTAAATCCTGGTCATTTAGTGTCAGAGTGGGAGTAGACGGAACCTAGTCCTGCATCATCACTTTGCACTTTGAAGAAGTAAAGCTAATGCCGAATGTGGCCACTGCACTTGTTATTCTATCAAGTGCACTTTGCGCGTCCTCCATACATTCAAACAGACAGGTGATGTCATCGGCGTACTCCAAATCGCATAGCTTTTCTCCAGCTGTCCATTCAATTCTACGTTTTGGAGTCCCCTTAGTGCGCACTCCGGTATTTCGTCTACGACGAAACTGAACAGGAACGGCGAAAGAGGGCACCCTTCACGAACACCGCTACTAGTGACGAACAGCCTACTTAGTTCGTTGTAGACCCTTACACGACCGGCGGTATGTGAGTACAGTGACCTTAGTAGGTCAACGTACTTCTGGGGCACTCTTTTTCGAAGAAGGCAGAGTTTCGCGGTCAACTGAGTCGAAGGCTCCTCTCAGGTCAAGGAACATTGCGATTGTTGTCCAACGGTGAGTATGACGCAGCTCAAGGAGCTGACGCAACGTAAAAACCTGATCAATACATCCACAGCAAGGCCGGAATCCGGCTTGCTGTTCACGGATGTTGGTCTCTCTTAAGGGAGTCAGATGTCGAAGTATAACCGAAGCTAGCACTTTGGTGATGGTCAGGATCGAACTTATCCCGCGGTGGTTTTCACAATCGTTGCGGGATCCTTTCTTGAAAATGGGAACGATCAGTGATTCGCCCCAAGATGATGTAATTTGTTCTTGCATCCAAATGTTGCGCAGTATAGTAGTAATAGAGCTTACGAGGTAATCACCTCCCATCTTGAAGAGAGTGGGAGGGAGCTCATCAGGTCCTGCTGCCTTTCCTCACTTCAGAGATTGAATGCAAGACCGAACTTCTGCTTCCGTTGGAGGATCGCATGACACTACCCACGGAACTTCCGTCGGAGATGAAGTAGCCTGGTTAGCAGTAGGCCAGCAGAACTGTTCGTTGAAGTATTCTGCCCAGCGATCTAGTCGTTGATCCCTATTGTGAATAGCTCGCTGGGCAGAATACTTCAACGAACAGTTCTGCTG